TGAGATCTTCAAAGGACATATTCTTCACTGCAACAATCTCATCCCATTTTCTCCACCCCTTCTGTTTCTTCTCTTATGCATCTCCCCCTCCCTCATATATGCTTTCCTAGTTGTGTTTTTGTAGTTTATGAATAAATTTTGGATACGTGCCGATTGAGTTCAAGCCAAGAATCCTTCGTCCCCAAATCTCTTAGTCCCTCTCTCAAAATATTCACTTTTGAATTATTGAAATTTTTGAGTTGCAATAATCTCAAAATATAATTCAATGGATATAAAAATTTTTGAGATAGAGGTTCCAATGTTTTTGTGTCTCGTAACACGAATTACTCATACTCTATAGTGGAGCTCCATGTTCAACTCCTTAGCCACCTATAGTGGAGCTCCATGTTCAACTCCTTAGCCACTGAATCACCAGTTGTTTTTTGATATTAACCGAACATCTAAGGAGGAAAGATATCATCACCTAGAACTATCATAGTATTACGGAATATTGGTGCGGTTCAATTTGAAACTAGTCCTCTAAATATAGAGATCTATTTTTTAATTGAGCCGTGCCAATATCGCGTAACTTGTCTAGATGATCACATCTCTTTCTCTTCATCAATATTTGACTAGTCTTTATATGTTTTGTGTTTTTATCATCTAATTTCTAGTTTATGCACAGGTATCATAACTTTTTGATACAATAATTTTTTGTCTTAAAATTTTTCAATTCTTTGTTATAATGTACTTCTAATCATACAATCATGTCTCAACATTTTTTTATTATGATTTTATTATAACATTGTACGATTATAACTCTATTGAAATAGAAGGATAAAAAAATTTAGAAATGGGAGAATCCCTGGCTCCATGGCCTCTACATGCAGGGCTAGTTCTTGTTGGAACTTTGGAGGTTTTCAAAATTTGCTACAGTCGCTGTACCCAAAAGACATGTTTCTTAAAACCCAATAGTTATGGCCTTTCATGAAAAGTCACTTTCATTATTTTTTGTAAAAGTTATGGGTTCTCTACAGTTTTCTACCCTTCAAATTTTGCTCAAAGTTTGTTTTCTTTCCATATCTTCCATTTTTTTTTTTTTTTTTTTTTTTTTTTTTTTTTTTGAGTGGTGTATGCAAACACTGAAAATCTTGATAATCATTTCACTCGTTGATTATCCGTTAACACATCCATAGGGAGACAATAATTACCTTAGAATAACGATTAGGCATTTTTTTTATGATTATATGCTAAATTTTCTATTTTATTTTTACTTAACATATTTTCATATGCTGTTAGAGCATCTTTAAGGGAATAGTTAAACAAGGTTTGTTAGGTATTTTAGCTAATTTAAGTCTTATTTTGAACTCTAATGGGCTAGTTATTGGGCTAGCTACTTTATCATCCTATTTTTTTGGTTTGATGGCTACAATTGAAGAACCCCAGAGACTCTTCAAACAATTATGTATGTATATATTTTAGATTTTTGTATATTTATGTCTTGGATTTGAAATTTTATATTATATATATATATATATGTATATATGTATGTATGTGTCTGTGTATGTAACAATTTTATATGTTCTTTCAATTCTGTTTGATGAATACGGAATAACTTATTTTGTGTTTTGTATTTTTTTTCTCCTCATTCTACAAGTTTTGTATGTTTGTATGGGCAAATTTATTATTATTGCAAATTTATATTAGTAAAATATCAACAATTAGTATTTTTTTTATTTTAAAAAATAATTAAGTTAGTTTAAATAATTAGCTAAAATAAAGAGCATGGTTAGAGAACACAATAGCTAAAGTAATTAGGTAAAATAAAGAGTATATTTTTTTTATACTTTAGCTAGTGAAAAGTAGAGAGTGTGGTTGGAATTGCTCTACACAATTTTAACCCTTTTAAAAAAGAAGAATAAAAAAATTTAGAAAAGAGAGAATCCCTAGCTCTATGGCCTCTACATGTAGGGCTAGTTCTTGTTGTAACCTTGGAGGTTTTCAAAATTTGCTACAACTGCTATACCCAAAAGACATGTTTCTTAAGACCCAATAGTTATGGCCTTTTATGAAAAGTCACTTTCATTATTTTTTGCAACACCGCTACGGAGCCTGAAAAATTAAAGGCTCGAATGGCTCGAAATCCCAAAACGACGTCGTTTTAGGACTTTTTTTTATTCTCTTACCGGTAAGATAATATTTTCCGTACCATTCGAACCATTTGAGCCTCAGTTTTTCGGACTACAGGGCATTTTTGTATTTTTTGTATGTAAAAGTTATGGGTTCTCTATAGTTTTCTGCACTTCAAATTTTGCTCAAGTTTGTCTTCTTTCCATATCTTCTTCTTCTTCTTCTTTCTTCTTCTTCTTTTTTTTTTTTTTTGGTGTAAAGCCAATTTTTTTTTTTTTTTTTTTTTTTTTTGGTGATAATCATTTGAGTTGTTGATTATCCATTAATACATTCATAGGAAGACGATAATTGCCTTAGAACAATGACTACACTTTTTTTTTTTATAATCATATGCTAAATTTTATATTTTATTTGTACTTAACATATTTTCATGTGCTGTTAGTTATATCGTTTAGAGCCCATATTCTAAGGTAATTATTCAGTAATCCGTGAGTATAAACACGTGGTACTCCATACAATTGTGATTGGTGGATAAGGTGAATAAATAGGGTATTATGTTAGGTGATTGAGGAACATGAGGGGGCATATTGAATAATAATTGGATAGAGAGTATGAACACGTGGTACTCCCGAATTATTAAATAATTTCCCCATATTCTTTCCAATCCATATTGGGGACTGAACTATCCATTTGGGCATGTGAAACTCACCATGCGCCCCACTTGGATAATTTAATTAGTTCATTTCGTCATTAAAAAAAAAAAAGAATAATTCAATAATTATAATTATATTATTTGATTATATTTTATTGTTTTCAAAAAAAAAGATAGACGGATTATTTTTTAAAATCTCTTTTACTATCCATTTTTTAAAATAAAAATCTAACACTAAAAGACTCATTAATGTACTTTTTTAAATGTAACACCCTAAAAAATTTCTTAGTGTATTTTTTTCAAACATAACACTCCAACGTAATTCCTCAAATGTAACTCTCTAATGTGGTGGGTAAATAAGTCATTACACATCTAAAAATATTAAATGGATTACAAGAAATAATATGGGACTATATGGATCACAAGTCCAAAATATGAGATTTATTGATCAATCTCACTTTAAAAAAATAGTTCGAGAATGTTCAATTGACCGAAATGAATTTCTAGACTCTCAATTACTGATATCAAGTTCGTAAAAAGAATCAAATTTTTGATAATTATTCTGTATAATAAACAGATGAAATTCTCTAAAAACCTTTATTTTATTTTATTTTAATTTTTTTTTTCCTCTATCAGATGCCAGGAACTCCTTGTAGATTATGAGCAAATCGGTGTGGCTTACATTCATTATAAGTATGACAGACCAGATATTAATTTTTCTGTGCACTTGTATGATGAAATAAACGAATTTAGGATGGAAAATCATTTAGGCTTCTATTACTTTATTTATACATAAATGCCTTCCACTTTTCTGAAAAGGAGATATGGGGTGGTTGCAGAGATTCTGTATTAATTTCATGTATCAGTTTTTTTATTTTTATTTTTATTTTATTTTTTTATTTAAGTGCATTATGATTCTGATACTTGAATTTATGAAGAGCCTAAAAAAAGCAATAAAGAATGAATACAATAGTACTCATTTTGTATCTCTCTCTTCCTTTGCAGTGTCTGTGTTAAATCACTTATTGTAGTTTTATGTTTTTTTATTCTCACTGTAATAATTATTTCTTAATTTTTTACCGTAAACCACACATTTGTGAGGCTTATTATTTCTTACTCATAAGATTCTTTGTTGGGCTGTTGATCCGTTCCCATTATGGAATTCTTTATTGGACTTCTATAGTTATTTGATTATAATTCTCAAAATTTAGAGCATCTCCAACGGTTCACCAAATTTTTTACTAAATCTGAGTAAAAAAATGACAATTTTCTCAATTTGATACAGAATGCTCCAATTTTTAATTTTCATCAAATTTGCTCCAGGGACAATCGGTTGGTCGACTGGTAAGGCAAAAAAATTTTTTTTTTTAATTGTTTGAACCTACCTATTTGAACTGTTTGAACCTTTTAGTAGTCGACCGGTATGGCAAAAATATTTTTTTTTAAATTGTTTGAACCTTTTCGTGGTCGACCGGTTGGTCAACCGGCCGGGCAACCGGCTGGTTGACCGGTTCCTCTCCTCCAACGGTCACAAACAATAATTTGTTGAAATCTGTATCCTGTTCTCAGTTTGGTGATTTTTTTATTCAATTTTCAATTTGATACGAGTTTGGTGAATACCGTTGGAGTTTCAAAAAGTGACTTTTTCTCCAAATTTTAAATTTGTTGCCAGGTTTGGGGAACCGTTGGAGATGGTCTTAGTCACCGTAACATTGTTTTTTTTAAAGAGAAGTACCCAAAATATGCATCTCATTTACTTGAAAGAAAGCTAGCTTGGTTTTCTTTACACCCCTCTGAGAGATCAAACGTGTATCGTTGCAATTATTTTTCTAAAAACATCGTTGAGACTGATGCTAGTGATTATTATTGGATGCTACTCTAGAAGAAGAAGCCAACAATGAAAAAAAAGAACATTTGTGGATACAAGAATGGTGCTTTCGAGAATGAAGAACTGCATCGTCATTCCACCTATAAAAAATTCTTGTAGTTAAGAAGGGTATCAAGAAATTCAAATTTCATCTTATTGATCATCAATTTCCTAGTCAAAATGGACATATCAATCCTAGTGAGTGCTCTGAGTCTCATGTGATAATGTATGACAGCACAAGTTGATTCACATTGATAAACAATGTCAAAATAACAAAATAATGAGAACTCCTTATGCTTTCCTAACCTTGCTTCTACTTGAACCATTAGGTTTCTCGAAATGAAGTGTTTGGCAAGAAAGAAACAACTCCAGTTGCAATGAGAAAAAAAATAGGAAACTAATTATATTTACTTTGAATATTTTGTATCAAATAGAGCTTGCAAAAGGTCATGGGTGGAGACACTATAATACCCCTCCATCCATTTAAAGAATGTAACAATCATCTTCTTGAGGACTCAAATGGAGAAAGATCCATCCTTCCCCTGGTTTGAGGCCACTATTTTATTTTTATTTTATTTTTTTGCTATTTTAAATTCTAATATACACTCGCCATACTAGAGTACGTGGACAAATAGACTATTTCCTTTGCGTGCTCGCTCAAGGATATATGTCGTTGATTTAGAAGAATTGCTATGCGTAGTTTAGTAGATTGGATTCCATAAAGCGGTCTCATTCTCCCCACACCGCTGATGAACATCCTTGATCCTCTCAGCAGACTTGCAAATCCCGCTGCATTTCCAGTCGAACGTAGCAGCACAGCCGTGGCCCATCACAGCCTTGAATTGGCAGTCTGCAACACAAGAAGTAATTATCACCAATCCTGTTTCCTAATCAAGCAACAGAGAGTTTTATACATTTATCCATAGAGGGTAAATCACAAATCCACCCCTTGAGGTGGGGGGGGGCATTAAGAGGGAGAGAGAAAGGAAGAAGAAAATTTTGAACTTCAAAAAAAAAACCTATAAATGTAAGGGACAAAGGTATTTTTGTCATTTTAGATCCTTGGTTAGAAATTACCGGACTTGGAGCCACAACATAGTCTTCTATCATCAATATGCTCCACCTCCAATCCAATCAGCCAAGCACCCAAAGAAACATCTTCATTTGCATACTTGTGCAGCACATTCCTGAGACAACAAAAATTAAAATTATTTATCCCAGCACCGGGATTTTGACTCCCCGTTTGTTTGAAAATGAGGAATCTACAATGTGCACCAAGACTAGCCAACTGAGGTAAGTCCATGAACATTTTTCCAACTCGTGTTGCTTTTAGTTTTTCATTTTCATTTTTCGTGGATTTTAAAATAATTCAACAAAAAGTTTAAAAAACCCATGGTGTTTGTATCGTTTTCGTTTTTGTACCAAAAACCGTTTTCGGAAACAATTTTGCAACTTGTTTTTAGAAAATTTTCCCGTAAACAATTTTTAGAAATAGTTCGCCAATGGTGAGTTTTTAGCCATTGTATTCATACATTGGTTCATTCACCCATCAAAGGCTTGATCCTTTTTTCTTTGGGTAAATTAAACTGACCTCTCTTGAAATTTAGAAAAAAATACAGTAAGTCTCACAAGTTTGACATAATTGCATTGACCTTCATTTTAGTAAGACTAAAGTAACCGAAACTAATATAGATGGTTTGTAGATAGAGATAAGCAATAGTAAAATATACATTTCAATATAAAAGATGGGACAACACACAGACAAATTATTGATGAAAAGAAGATGAGTGTTATGTGAATTAATCTTATAATGCAATAATGCTAAACTTGTGTGGCTCGATGTATTTTCTTCAAACCTTGTGATTAATGTAGTTACCCTTCTTTTTTTTCAATCCATCTGAAAAGGTAAGTGGAAAACTTACAGGTGCTTTGATATATAAATAGCCAACTCTTTTGAAATAGCATATATCTGCCCGGTAGCATGGCGGAAATAGTAATTTCCTACATCACCAAATTTCCAATGCTCCGGTTCATGGTACTTGACTTTCCTGTTTAACAAGAATAGCCTTTTAAATACCAAGTAATACCAATTTACTCTCAATATTTGTCATCTAAACGATCTCAGAAAACCGTATGCTTACTTCTGATAAAGTACAGGACCGGACTTCATGCATCCAATATACACACGAGGTTTGTTACGGTGACGAACCAAAATCCTTGCCAGTATTCCTGTAGTAAATTAAAAGTTGATGTACCAAGTAAAATCATATACAAGCTCGGATAATTTTTTTTAAATTGCTTCATTTTAAATCGGATAAAATGTTCACATTTATTTGTTAGTGAATAACTGAAGTTACAAATTTTTTTTTTTTTTTTTTGGGTTCAATATTGTTGGGTATTTTTTGAGGGGGAGTGAAAATGAGGTATCAACATGTATTATGCATTAAAAACTGGATATCGTTTTACCTATGTTTACATGAACATCATCATCAATTTTGAGATAGAAATCTGCATCCCACAAAGCAACAGCGGTAGCAAAATATATCTTTGTTTTCGCTGACAATTCATTGTAGCCCTCTACATGTTTCTGCCCAAAGAACATAAACAAAGTCAAGTGCGTGCCTAACAAACACACTTTTATTTAGTCTTTAACATTCATGCTACTCAAAACAGTTATTGGCAATGGCAATAGAGGAAGTAAAGAAAAAAGAACGCAACATCACCAGCCGCAAGAAGTCCTCGTGCTTTCTGTCCTCTGCTTCAATAGCTTTATCAAGAATACCATCGGATGTTGAACTAGTGACGAAAAACAATTAATAAATTCATTTTCACTTGCAAAATTCCTAGTCCACAGCTCACTGATATGCAAAATGTTACTAGTGACAGAAAAACAATTAATAGATTCATTTTCATTTAGTGCAGAAACCAGCCAAATGTTACATTCTTTGAGTCATGGAATTCCTTGCGGTTGGTGTTACTATTCTAGGAAACACGGTCCAGACTTCATCATTAAATTGATACAATTAAAAAAAAAAAAAACTCAATTTTTTCAATCACATAAGTTGTAGAGAATACATAAAGCCACAACTAAAAACCACATACGTATGCAATTAGCTAATATCAGCTCTGAAAAGCGTATACTAATTCGTACCTGTGACCAATAACAAAGCGTATGACAATGCCCTTCTCTTCCTCTAGCTTCCTTCTTTTCTCACCTTCAATTTTTTTTATCAGAGAACCCATTACTCATTGATCATATACAATAACATCAATCATGAAATAAAACAAAGCTGCAAGATCAGCTAATGCACCTTGGGGCATCCACGTCTCCCGCAGGGAATCTCTTCGCTTTTGGCTACTAAAAGCTGTATTAATTCCCATAACCATGAAATATTTTTTGTTAGACTTTGCAACCTTTTGTTTTATTGACTTGGGAGAGGCCCTTGGTAGAGATATATTCCTTGTTTTTACAGCTGCTGATTCATCTTGTGTTCTGCATTCCATAATCAGGAACAGGATGTGAATTCAGTTGACTCCATACCATACATGAGGGCATCACTTGTAAATTGTATCCAACTCAAACAAGCATCGGGATTGCTTACCGTTTGGGATGATGAGCCTTTAAAACTTCATTGCTTACAAGCTTCTGATGAAAACCAAGGAAAACACAAAGTTTGAAGTATGAACACATCAGTATTATGAACTTGATAGTTAAATGAAGCAACAAAACAGAAACTGAGTAAATAGTTGATGATAAGTGTAGAAGAAAGAATAATTTCCATCAGAAAATTTGTTTGCACACTGTATTTGGATAAATGCTACATTTTTTAATTTCTTTAAAAAAAATATATAGAAGTTAGAGAAGTTGGAGGTTTAAAATGATTCAAATGAGATTATGAAAAAATAACTCTTAGTAGTGATTGAAGACTCATATACACACGAACAATCTGAATGATCTTTCAGGCCAACCTGATCTATCTCATGAACTCCAAGTTCAAGCTTTACTCAAAAAATTTAAGAGCTCAGAAGCAGGATTTATTTTGCTTCCGTAAATCTGACAAATATTTTGTGAAACTCCTAAATCAAGTAGATCTTGTAGTCACCATGGTTGATAATAGCTATTCCAAATGAGGAAAAGCCAAATAATGTATCGCCAAGTAAGCTTTTAGCAATTATATTCTAGTGGTCACTGAAACCAATCCTTTCATAGGTTGTGTTTGGATCTTGGATTTGGCAAGGGATTTGTGTGAAGGGAAAAGAAAAGATCCAAACACAGACTGAAAGTTGGCTTCCAAGTGCCGCTAAACGTTAGGTTTTGTTAAAATGGAAGATGCACTCACAAGTTTGGGATTATAAGCCTCAGAAACTAAGTGTCTTCTTTCAGCTTTGACAGCAGTTGTCCTTGCAATACCCATTGTTTCAGGCACCAGCCATATCCTGATACCAAGTGCTCCAAATCAATATGACATGCAAATATTGTTAATGCTTCATCTTTCATGCACAAAACTAGGTTTAGAAAAATTGTATAAGTTGCTAACAACAAAAATAAGATCCATATAAAATATCAAATATGTGCAGTTTAGTCCCCACCCCATTGGATGGGGTTTTGGAGGGGCAGATTGGGTACAAGCCTAATAGGGGCCACTGGTCCAGTGGTTAAAACTCGATCCTTCAATCTTGAGGTTGTGGGTTCAAACCTAGAGGGCAGATACAATATATGGAATTTTTTTGCTAGTTGGAAAATTTCAACTTTTGTTGTTAGATTAAGAATGAATAATTTTCAAATTACATATAAACCTATATTGGTAAAGAATATACATATACTAAATGAAAAGAACAACATAGTGGCATAAGATGGCGAGGAATCCCCCCAAAAAAAATATGACGAGAAAAAGAGTGCTTTCATATTCTAGGTCACCCTAATCTAAAACCATATTATCCAAATTCAAGATTCACATTGGAAATCGTAACCCAGATTCTCAGCCACTCAAGGCAAACATTTGATATTTAGTTCAAAAACAAAAATCCCCAATTTGTATAAGAACCAACACAAATCAATGGTCTCTCTCATTCCTCAACAAGCATCATTCTTGCTATATATATAACAATGCTCATTGAATACCATCAAAAATCAGTGTTGCAAATAAATTTGAAACCAAACCCAAGTTATTTGGAAACAAATTTCCCAAATGCAAGTTGTTCTGAACTTATTTCTCAAACCGTAAACTTACTTCTCAAAACTAGGTTGTTCTTTAAAGCCATGTAAAGTTGTCTTTTCAAAACATGACTCCAATTAACTCATGGTAAAATTGTAAAATAAATTAATTGAAGTTATGTTATAAATCACTAAAAATACAGTTTCAGAACAACCAAAATTTAAAAATAAGTTCAAAACAACTCATATTTAGGAATTTTTATTGAAAAACAACATGGTTTTGGAAAAGAACTCCACAAAAAACTTCCTCTGCCTGAATTTTCAACAACACCCACATGGCCAAAAAGGAAGAATTACTAAAGCAATCAAATAACCCAATATCTCAACAAACATAATAAAAGCAGAATAAGAGCTTCAACCTTAAAAGGGCAAAAAATTAAAGACCCATTAAATTTAAGAAAAAAATACCTGTTAGTGAAGAACAGGCCAGCACAAAAGCTGGCAAGACAAAGCAAAAGTACCCAACTTCTGGATACAAGAGCTCTTGATTGTGAGTCACCAGCTATTCCTCTACTCTTCATTGACATTGACATTGACATTTTTTAATTAGCCAATGTAAGAGTAGAGGAATATATAATTAAACAAATATCATGAAGAAGAGAAACAACTTATCTTTCAAAAATAAAACAGCATTAAAATTGAGCTTCTAATGCCCCTGTTTCTGATTCTCTCTTTCTCTCTCTCCTCTGCATATGTATAGAGGAGTGAGAGAGAGAGATAACCCACTAACTGCCATCTTTGTCTCTCTTTAATGGTTCCTTCAATTACAAAACGTTTCTGGTTTTAATGAATGCTTGCTCTGTTCAAAAAAAAAAAAAAATGATGTTTGCTACAGTAACAGAAAGAGAGAGAATCAGCTTCATATATGGCTTGGAAATGGGTCGGGTTCAATTTGAGTGGGTTTAACCTGAATCCATCAAAATTTGTTGCTAGTGAATATTGTTTGATTTTCTTTTTCTGTGTTTTTATTTTTTAAATTGAACAAATATCAAAACTTCAAAATCTATTAAATTTTAATTTAGATTTTCATCATAAATTTTATATATTCTTAGAATATTTTCATTGATGTCTATTAAAAATGGCCAATGATGAATATGAAATTCTATATAAAAAATTGATAAAATATCACTGTGCTTGCTACTACCAATTATTTTCAAACAGTGAAATTTATAACTAAAGCTAAAAATTACAAAATTTATGGCTAATTGCAAAAATATTGGGTACCTAATTTCAAATTTTAGGGTTACAAGTTCAAATTGAAGTTTTTTTATAAAAAAAAATTCTCTATTTTTGAATAGGGAAATTTCACTAGTTTCAAATAGAGAAATTTCTCTATGCTAAAAAATAAAAATTTCTTATGTACTCAAATTCCATATGTGAATGTGCTATATTGTTTGTTAACTAAAGTACGATAAGGCTCGGGAAGATAAACTACCTTGCCACCTCACATTGCCTCGACTTAGGCTTATTTTGGAAAGATGGTAAAAAGTGATTTTTTGGCTTTTAACAGAACTTTTGGCTTTTTTAGACAAATGATTTGAGAAGTTGATAAAAATTGACTTTTGACTTTTTTGATTAATGTTTGTTTATGATGTCAAATCATAATAAAATGACCAAACTACCCCCATTTATTTAAAATATTTACAACTTTACCTATGTAAAACATTTTGACCCATGAGGGTAAAATTGTAATTTCACCGTTGGCTAAAAACCAACTTCCCAAATGAAAAAAAAGACAAAAAAGCCAACTTTTGGCTTTTGCTACAAACCAAAAAAAGTGGCTAAAAGCCAACTTCCCAAAATAGCCCTTAGTGTTAGCTAAACTCCCCAACAGGTATAGAAACTCAAATTGTCACATTCAGGGAGAGTTGTCACGTTCATCTTTAATCCCTCTCACCCCTTTTTCGAGCTATGTTCTTGGTATCCTAAGTATATGACCAGAGGTTCTCCAAAGTTATCTAGAGGGCGGGTTACAACTTTACCATCAGATAACCAAAATAAGACCAAAAATAAGACGATGATAGAGTGGCCTGTGATTGAGTGATAGACTGATCGACGTTTGAAGGATGCTCGATTGAATCTTTAGTCCCAAGAGAACATATCCCATTTGGATACAGAGAAAGTACTGATATTGAGAATCTAACCCCATGAATAAATTTCACATTGCAATAACCAATTATTTATGTAAATAAAAACTTTAATTGCCAAACAGAAGCCATGGAAGTGAGAACTCCAAATAACACACGTATTATATATGAGGGGCAAAAAACAAAATAGCCGTATACAAAGATGTTCCAAAACGCAATGTTTGTGAGCAATTGAGAATTACATGTATCTAAAGATCTACATAGTTTGTTCTTGCACAAGCATAATTCAATAAAATAAGCAAAAACCCGCATAAATAAAGCAAAAAATAAACTATATCATCACTCTCAGGAGCATGGCTTTTAAATATCGGCCGATATGATATCAGGATTTTAGACTTTTGATATCAATATTCATTGATAGATAAATTTCGATATTGGTTGATACGATATCGCGATTTTAGACTTTCGGTACTGATACACCTATATATCAGCTCATATATAACCGTATCGTCAAAACTGATACATATCCCCGATGCCGTTATTCAAAATCATGCTATCATGAGGTTGTTAGACTAGGGCATCGGCTCCGGCGACAATCTCCAATATCTCTCCGGTGATCTTCGCCTGTCGCTGCCGATTGTACACACTCGATAGCGACTTATTCAATTCGACAGCATTGTCGGTGGCATTGCTCATGGCACTCATCCTAGCAGCAAGCTCACTAGCCAGAGACTCCTGCAACGCCCTCAAGATTTGGCTGTTCAAATACAGGGGAAGCAGAGCATCAAGAATCTGAACCGGGTCTTGCTCGAATTGCAAAATTGGCGAAAAATCAATAGTTTGAGTCCTCACAACATCTCTCTCCACTGTCAATTTCCCTTCTTTTGTTGTCAATCTGAAGAACTCATCCTCGGCAGCATCGACACAAATCCCATTCACATCACAAATCTCCCCCCTTGGAGACAGGGGAAGCAGAGTATGAATCACAGGATCAGACTTAACCAACGACACGAATTTCGTGTACAAAAGCTCAACTTTATCGACTTCTTCGCTCACAAAGAGCGAAAAAACATCGTCGGCGATCGCCTGAGCTTCTTTCGCGGTCGGTAAATTGCCTTTTTCAAAGAATTTATCGACCGGGATATAAGGCCTTCGGATAAAATATGAATTACCCTTTTTCCCAACACTAATCACAGTGTAATCTACGCCCAAATTCTTCAAATCTGCGATTCGTGATTCGGCTTTTTTGATGATTTGGTTGTTGAAACCCCCACAGAGGCCTCGATCGCCTGTGACAACAACCAGAGCAACCTTTTTGACTGGCCTGACAGAGGTGAGAGGCACATCAACATCCTCTGCTTGAAGCTGTTCATTGATGCTATAAAGAACTTCAACAAGAGTCTCTGAGAAAGGTCTTCCATTGACAACAGCTTCTTGAGCTCTTCGAACTTTCGCTGCAGCAACGAGCTTCATCGCTTCGGTGATCTTCTTGGTGTTCTTGACTGACGCGATTCGGGCTCGAAGGTCGCGAAGACTGCAGTGAATTGGGTTCACAGATGATGATCTAGAGGGGCTGGAAATGGGTGAATTTTGAATTGGGAGCTGAAATGGGTTGAGAACAGAGCGAAAAGAGAGAGGAGAGGCATCGGAGAGAGATGGGTTTGAAGAGACTCGCATTGTTAGATTTGAGCAAGACATGGTTTTGAGTTTGCTGTGAATTTTTTTAGCATATGCAGAGAATCAAAGATGGAGAAGGAAGAGGAGAGAGAGAGAGAGAGAGAGTATGTGATGTGGGTTTGGTATGTTTTTAATCTTAGCTGAGTGGGAGTGGGATTACAGTTCTACTGGTGTGGAGGGAAGGAGTGAAATGAGAGGTGGAGTGAGCGAGAGAGAGAGAGGGGGAGGGAGGGAATATTTTGGATGAGGTTTGGGGATAAGGATTTTAAACCGTTGGAAATTGAAGTGTGTTGTTTGGGCAAAATATTTTTATGAGAAGTTTAGTTGTGTCCTTAACATTAATAGTTTTGATATAATTATATTGAATTTTTTTTATTATACTTTAATTTATATAATAGTTAGACTCATTTTTACCATTTTATTGATGGAAAAAAATAATATTTTTATTTCTTTACATGAAAATATATAATTTATGTTGTTTTAATTATATATTTTTAACTTCGGTCCATTTAATTTTATTAAAAGACATATCAATATAATTATATTAAAATTATAAAACTTACTGTATTAAATTTCAAAAGAGATATAACCCATCAATATAACCCATTAATTTACCCTAAAATTAATGGCTTAGAGGATTTTCAATCTTTCACTAAATTCTTTAAAAAATATATTAAAAAAAATGGTAAAAATAAGACTCAATTGATTCATCTAACTTGTGTCAAATCAATTTTTCACTAAAAAATGTAGAAAACTTTCCTGCTAAAATAAACAAAGCGTTGACTGCTTGTAAGAATTAGTTAAAAAAAATTAATTTATTGGGTAAAAATAAAATATCAGTTTTAGCTTAATGAAATTTTTTTGTTTGACAATGCTATTATGTTATGTGGTCCATGAGTGTATGGCTGATGTTAAAACTCTTTTTGGAATATGAGAGACTATTCCATTGTTATTATGTGCCCTCTCTTTTTAAGATTTTTTTTAAGATATTTTTTAAGATATTCTTAGGTCTCGTTTGTTTGGCAAATTAAGTTAAAAGAAATTATGAGTACGGTAAGATTGAATGAAAATGCCCCCCCCCTCCTCTTTTGGAATATGAGAGACTATTACATTGTTATTCTATACCCTCTCTTTTTAAGATATTTTTAGGTCTCGTTTGTTTGGCAAATTAAGTTAAAAGAAATTATGAGTACAGTAAGATTGAATGAGATAATTATTAATATGGTGGTATTAGTTTAGAAATGTATGATTAAGAGTGTTTGTTTTTGTTATACTAGTATGATAGTATTTGTCTGTTAAGAATAAATCTATAAAATTACGTAAACACCCTCATCATATAATAACTAGCTTTGTTAATGTAAAGGTAAAATAGTCTTTTGACACCTAATCTCATGGGATTGGATTACCAATCTCATCCCTCCCATGGGAAGGCTAATTCCACTATGTGAGGATATTTATAGTCTCATGAGATTATTAATCCCTTTCTATTTTTATCAACGAAACTTTGTAGGACTCACCTGATAGGTAGTCCAATCCCCTCTATAGAACCAAACAAATATGACCTGTGTGATCTGCCTCCATTTGGAAAACAATAATTAAGAGCAATTATTTTTCATACTCAACAAAAAATTAAGTTATTTTGCTTTTTAAAGGCAAAAAACGCTTTCCAAATGAAATGAAACATATCAGTCTTACTAAATCTACCATAAACAGATATACCACCACCATCATTATCACAATATTAACACCATCACTTTTTGTGATCACAATTAAATATAGGAAAATTCTTTAGTTACATAAAATTCATATAAAAAACTTGATAAAAATAATGTGACATTACTATTATTGTAAATAAATCAATATTTAATGATGTTTTATTTTAAAATGAAAAATCCATAACACATCACATTCTTATATATGCATTTTTTGTCCGTAAAATATAAGAAATATTTTGTGCAAAACAGTTTTTGGTAACAGATGGACGTGGAAACAAACGTAGCCTTAAAAGTACAATGTCAATTCCAAGTTTGAATTCTATATTGCCAAACATATTAAAAAGGCCAATGCTACATCCACCGGTTTTAACGTCATCCGAATTGTCCGAATTTGTTCATGTTGATCGTTCGGATGATAAGGTGACAACCGCGGTAGACAAGGGTAGAGCCGATTGTCGGAGCAGTCGTGTGACTGACACAAATTTGGACGATTTGGTGACAACAAATTCAGTGAATAAATCACTTCACTATTGAGCAATGGTTAAGTGATATTGATAGAGATGAAAGTTGAAGTGTGTTGTTTGAGCAAAATATTTTTATGAGAAGTTTAGTTGTGTCCTTAACATTAATAGTTTTGATATAATTATATTGAATTTTTTTATATATACTTTAATTCATATAATAGTTAGACTCATTTTTATCATTATATTGATGGGAAAAAAATGATATTTTTAGTTCTTTTATATGAAAATATATACTCTACGTTGTTTTAATGTTATATTTTTAATTTCGGCCTATTTAATCTTACTAAAAGGAATATCTATGTAATTATATCAAAACTATAAAACTTACTGTATTAAATTTCAAAAGAGATATAACCCATCAATGTAATTAAATTTCAATGTAACCCATTACTTTACCCTGAAATTAATGGCTTAGAGCATTTTCAATCTTCCACCAAATTCTTTATAAAAAAAAAGAAAGAAAAAATTGGTGAAAATAAGACTCAATTGATTCATCTAACTTGTATCAAATCAATTTTTCACTAAAAATTTCATTAAGTGACGGATGAATTAAATTTTTCATCAAATGATTAACAATTTATTTTTCACTTAAATTTGTTGAAATTGTTAAGAGACGAACGATTGGACAAAAAAAAAAAAAAATTCTTCTCACCTAATTTGGTTAAAGGAGATTTTTTTAGATAAGGTAGGTCTTTTTAAAAAAGATTTGATGATGGAGTAAGTTATATTAAATCAAGCTTTTGATCTAAAATGTTGAATAAATTTGACGGGGAAAAAAAAATGTGAAGGGTTTGAGGTGCTATTACAATATTTCATTAAATCTTTGGTTAAATTTGAATTTGAATTTGAATTTGAATTTGATGAAAATGACCCCCAATCATTTCATCACACTTGTATCAAATTAAGGCAAAATAAAATTTTTATCAAATTTGATAAAGAAACTTTTGGGAAATAAACTTGAAAATTTTGAAAAAGATTTTGATGAAATTTTTAAGTGAAGGTTGGAGCATTCAATTTTTTTTACCAAATTAAGCTTTAGCCAAATTTGATTAAAAAAAAAAAAAAACTAAAGGCACATTCCATATCAAATCAAGCTCTTAACTAATTTTCTAGGTGAAAAATAAAATAAAATATTAGAGATGATCTTAGTGCTTGTATTAGTGGTGGGGGTGGCGGCAGTGGAGTAAGGGTGGCAATGAAATGATGGTAATAGTAATAATAGTGTAGTAATGTTGATAACATTTTCACCCAAAAAAAAAAGCTTTTCAACTTTTAAAATGTTTTCTGCCCGAGAAATTTTTTTATTTTTTTTACTACAAAATGTTTTTATTTTTAATCAAACACTAAAAAATGTAGAAAACTTTCCTGCTAAAATAAACAAAGCGTTGACTTCTTTTAAGAATTAGTTAAAAAATTAATTTATTGGGTAAAAATAAAATATCAGTTTTAGCTAACGAAAAATCTGTGTTTGACAATGCTATTGTGTTATGTGGTCCATGAGTGTATGGCTGATGTTAAAAAGGGACCCCCCAATTTTGGAATATGAGAGGCTATTCCATTGTTATTGCGAGCCCCCTCTTTTTAAGATATTTTTATGTCTCGTTTGTTTGACAAGTAAAGTTAGATGAAATTATGAGTATAGTAAAATTGAGTGAGAAGATTATTAATATGATGATATTAGTTTTAAAATGTATGATAAAGAATATTTGTTTATGTACTAGTATAGTGGTATTAGTCTGTTAGAAATAAATCTATAAAATTACATAAATACCCTCATTATATAATCATTAACTTTTTTATTTTTGTAATGTAAGGGCAAAATAGTCTTTTGACATCTAATCCCATGGAATTCGATTACCAATCCCACCCTTCCCATGAGAAGGCTAATTCTACTATGTGAGAGTATTCATAATTCCATGAGATTACTAGTCCACTTCTATTATTGTCAACCAAACATAGACTTTGTAGGACTCACCTGATAGGTAGTCCAATCCCCCCTATGGAACCAAACAAACCTGACCTGTGTGATCTACCTCCATTTGGAAAACAATAATTAAGAGAAATTATTTTTCATACTCAACAGAAAATTAAGTTATTTTGCTTTTTAATGGCAGAAAACGCTTTTCAAATTAAATTAAACAAATCAATCTTACCAAATCTACCATAAACAGAAACACCACCACCACTGCCACCACCACACCATTACTATCACAATATTAACACCATCACTTTTTGTGCTCAAAATTAAATATAGGAAAATTCTATTGTTACATAAAATTCATATAAAAAACTTGATAAAAATTATGTGACATTACCATTATTGTAAATAAATCAATATTTAATGTATTTTGTTTTGAAATGAAAGATCCACAAGAAGTCACATTATTATGTATGAATTTTTTGTCTGTAAAATATAAAAAATATTTTGTGCAAAACTGTTTTTGGTAATAGATGGACGTGGGAACAAACGTAGCCTTAAAAGTACAATTTCAATTCCAAGTTTGAATTCTATAGTGCCAAACATATTAAAAAGAGCAACGCTGCATTCACCGGATTCCGAATTACCTAAATTTATTCATGCCAATCGTCAGGCTGATCGTATGGATGACAGGGTGACAATCACAGTAGACAAGGGTGGAGCCGATTGTCCGGGTAGTCGTACGACTGACACAAATTTGGACGATTTGGTGACAACAAATGCAGTGAATAAATCATTTCAATATTCAAAAGGATGAGCAATGGTTAAGTGATATTGAAACAACCCTAAGAAAGCATACTTGATAGAGGTGGAAGATACAGTGTGATCAAGAGACTCAAGAATTCTACACAACACACAGCAAAAACTAAATAGAACAAATCAAATACTTTTTCAGACACTGCAATATGTCTCTCTTATTACAAAATTCACAGAAAACAAATTGTTTGCACATTTTATCTATGGATGCTAAAATGATATATTGGCCCTGTTTGGTACAGCTTAATTTCAGCTTATTTCAGCTTAATTTAAGCTATTTTGATGTGTTTGGTTTAGCTTATAGCTTATAGCGTGGAAGATACAGTGTGATCAAGAGACTCAAGAATTCTACACAACACACAGCAAAAACTAAATAGAACAAATCAAATACTTTTTCAGACACTGCAATATGTCTCTCTCTTATTACAAAATTCACAGAAAACAAATTGTTTGCACATTTTATCTATGGATGCTAAAATGATATATTGTTATTGGTTGCATAACTCACCACTTAGTTAACATACATAGATACACACCAACATTGGGACTTGATTGCATCTCTTATCTTGAGAAGAAACTAATATATAAATAATAATAATAAATAAATAAAACAGTATAGGTTCAATTCCAAACAATTACTCAAAATGTATGGCACAAATGCCAGTAATCCAATATTTTAAGCATCAAATTTCAGAATATATAAACGGGATCTGATAATGAACATGAGGGAGAATTTGAACTCATATACATTAGAAGGAAGTGAGGATTCATTTTGCATAGGGATAGATTTTGTATATTACATCAGCTGTTGAAGCCTAATCCTTTTCTTCACTACCTGTTAGCAGTGGCCTAACCATGGCATCGTATGTTTGACTATCCGGAACGACACCTTCAATCACCATATAGTCATGCAGCTCGATTACTTCCTCTGTTTTGTAGGTTTTAATGATATTAGTAACAAGTGTTGTGTATGTTACGAAATCAGGAACCACACCTTGGCGAATCATCATCTTCATAAGTTCCTTCGCTGCTTGAATAAATCCATTCTTGCACAAAAAGTTGATCACTATATTGTAAGTCACTCTATTCACCAAATGCCCCTCCTTTCTCATTTTTGAAAACAGATCCAACGCCTCATCAATCTTCCCACTATTGCAAAAACCATTTAACAAAGTGTTATATGTTATAGCATCAATCAAACCCGCCCTCTCCAAAGCATCGACCAAATGCTTTGCCTTTTCTACTGATTGCCCTTTGCATAAGCCATGCACAATAGAATTGTATATTACCAAGTTGGCCTTTTTCTCAACTTTTATCATATCATCATATATCTGAATTGCACTTTCTATGCTCCCTTCTTTGCAGTGTCCGTCAATCAAAGTGCCATACGTGACAAGGTCAGGAATAAACCCACGAACAAACATGCTACCTAAAAGTTGCTTCGCTCCTTCTACGTTCTTGATTTTACAAACATAATTGATGAGAATATTGTGCATAAAAGCTTCTTCCACAATGTTGTTTCCTAGAATCCACTTGTGGAATTTAAGAGCTTCGCTTAAGCATCCATTTCTACAAAGCCCCTTTGTTAGGATTGAGTAGGTGAATTGGTCGGGGCATATACACTTATCGATCATGTCGGATAACAAGAAGGAAGCTCCTTCCACATCTCCATCCCTATGAAGCCAATGGATAAGTGAATTATAAACAACGGAATTAGGAACCAAGCCTCTTTCCACCATATCATGGCACCTCGTAAATGCCACCTCCAAACTCCCATTTCTTGAATACCCATCAATCAAAGTAGCATACGTCCTCACATTGGCGTCGATACCAGCCTCAACCATCTCATTCTGAACTTCTTCTGCAATCGCTAGCCTTCCTAATTTGCAACACCCATTGATTAGACAGTTATACGTAACTGAATTGGGGGTAATACAGTTCCCTGACATGACTCCCATCTTCCTAACAAGCTTAAACCCAAGATCAATATCGCCCATCTTGCAAGCTCCGTCTACGAGCATGTTGAAAGCAACAACATTGGGTACAATTCCATTCTTCAATATCCGATACAACACTGAAATCGCTTCATACAATTTATATTCCTTGCAAAGCGCATAAATAACCAAATTAAAAGTATACAAATTCTCAGAATATCCATATGATATCATCTCTTTGTAAACTCCCCAAAACCTGTTCGTCTCATTCAATTTCAGAAGATGATTCAAAAAGTTGTTCCATGCATGAATCGAAACCCAACAACCCTTGATTCTCAACTTCTTGATCACCTCATAAGCACCTTCAGTAGCACCAATTTGAGTGCAAGCCCTAATCAATGCATCAAACACTGCTGGAACCGACAAACATGTCTCGTAACTACCAACCAACCCTTGCAAAACCTCCAACGGCAAATAACCCTTTATTTGCATCAACTCTTGCATAAAAAATAAGGCATCGTCATATCTTCTACAATTCACCATCAAATGAATTACAATACAATAAGAATCTAAAGAATGAGAAAAACCCTTGTTCTTCCCAACCCAATTGAAGAACTGCAGGACTAGCTGAGGCGAGTTTTGAAACTCGCAAACCACGCGATTTACTACCGCATTCGTGAGACTTGGAGTCATTTGATCCAAGAATTTCCATTTCCTTTGCCTTAAATTTACACAAACTGACTTAAAAACAATGTCTTCAGTACTAAGGTTTGTGAATTGCTTACCCACATGAAAGCCTCTGGCTTTGGCTAAAAGATGACTTCTTTTCGATGAAAACAACCTCAAAAGCATAGAATGAACAATACCCAATTCATGAACTGGTCTAATTCCTGCAATAAAAGAGTGAGAACCAAATACCCATGTCAGTCTAGCAACAGATTAAACCCTTTTCATACAAGAATATATATATATATATATATAGATTATGAGTGAAAATTGGAGGAGAGTGAAGCAGAAACACCAGGATTTCTATGAAGAAAGAACCCTAAACAGCTTTGAACACAAGAAGGTATGAATAAGAAACCCTAGAATGGAGAGAGGGATTCAAAAGCTGTTCTGGCTTAGACGACGTCGTCGCAATCCCATTTTCACAAAATTAAAATATATATATATATATATATATTATTAATAAGTATTGTTTTCATCCAAACTACTTTTTTTTCTTTTTCTTTTTCTTTTTCTTTTTTATTTTTGAGAATCCATTATTAAATTAGAGGGAAATGCTATGGTGTGGGTACTTACAATATGCATCCTATTACAAAATGTGTAATTTTACCATAAAATTTTATAATTACGTAATCTCTTCACAAATTGGTGTAATAAAAAAATAATACTATATGTACCAATTAATGTACTAATTAATATACTAACAAATGATGTGGCATAATTTTAGAGGTTTTGGATATTTATAATTTGTATAATAGGTGAGGTCAATAATAATGACATAATACTAGTTGCTACATTACTGTGTACATTAATTAGAGCATGTAGCACCACCGAATAAAAAGTGTCGTAACTAAGCCATAAATTTTTGCAATATTAACCACAAAATTTTAAATATTTTGTTTTGTCAATTTGAGACAAGAATACGTATTTTGCGATAAATGTTACAAAATTTTATAATAAATTACACATTTTTGTGGGAGGGTAGGTGTTTGGTGGATATTATACAAGCAACTTAACTTTTTTTTTGATTTGGAAGTTTGTGTTAGACTACTCGTTTGACAAGTGGCTGATTTAGTTTAAAAGTCAAAAAGTTATTAAAAAAATCAAAAAGCCAACAACTTATATCAAAAAGTCAAATATTCATTTTCTCTCTATTTTTTGCATATCTTTTCATAAAAAATCAAAAAAATATCCCAAACATACTAATTTTTTTATCTCATACAAAAAATTAGTATATAAGCCAATAATATAAAATGTCACATACAAACCATAATCATTACACTTTTTCTCTCATAAAAGTCAAAAAAATTTAAAAATAAAAACCAAACAAGGCTAAGCCAGGCTAACAAAGTCCCAAGACAAAAAAAATTTGACTACCATAGTCAATGCCAAACAAAGCTTTAGTGTAAGTTATGCTTATAACTTATTGAGGAAAAAATAACTTAAATAAGTTGATTTTCTAGAAATTGAAGAGTTTCTATTTTATGATAATTAACTTTTAATTTAAAATAATCTCTACCAAGTACTCCCATATGATATGCGCCCCTAAGGGATGCACACCATCAGATTTTCCTAATTTTAAATCCCATCAAATTATCAATTAATGTGCCCATTGAATAATTATTGAATTAGTCTTGTAATATAATGTGATATTATTTATGTGAAGTTGTTAATAAATTATGTAGTAAAAAAAATTATTGATAAGATAATTTCAAGCCATCTTTGTTATGGAACGTAAAGATAAGAAATGACCAACTTTAGTTTGTTTTATTGCAAGTCCATCTAATCATATTCGGACAAGTAATATTATACAAACGGAAGGGTTGAACAAAAATTTTACATAGCATGAGTTAGAATTGGATAATCTCTTTATTTTCAATTAAAGCATTCATTATTATTCTTATAATTTTACAAATATTATTGATACATTATTCTGAATAGATTTTTTGCATAAATTTTGAATTTGCAAATCATTTTTCATTGGAAAGCCATAGGCAAGTTGTCAAATTGAGGAGAAGTTATCTGGAGATCCTGGGACATGGCCGCGTAGTGTCCTAATATAGTGTGATTAGTAGATGATATGAGACTCACGATTTTATGTTTAGTGATTGGAAATATGTGGAGACACGATGGTTTATGATTGACCAAAAGTATGGCCACGTCCTAGATCAAGAAATAATTTTTCCAAATTGACGCCTCTAAATTTAAATATTAATTTAAGGATAAATTATAAGAACACCCCTGAGATTTATTCAAAATATGAATTATCTCTAAATAATTTTAAAAATTACATTTTATCTCTTGAAAATTTTAATTTCATAATAAATGACTCATTTTATTAATAAATCATCAAATCAATTAATAATTTTTAATGATGTCAGAAATTTATTTCAATTAATAATTTCGATAATTTTATTATTGTATAAGAAAATAGTTAGGAATTTTATTTTTTTAATTAATTCTATTAAATAAATAATTTTGTAATTTTTCAAACTATATGACAAAATTCATAATTTAAACAAATTTGAAAAGTGTATTTATAATTGACTATTAATTTAAAAGACAGCTCTCTATACAACTTGATGAATTTCACTGTATGTTTGCTTCCATCCATACAACAAAACACCATATGTAAACACCCACCATATAAATGAAATTTGCTACGTGAATTCATGTAAAATGTGAAAAAGTAATTAAAAAAAAAAAAACCATCAGCTAACAAATATGATTTTCTTAATAATTATTTGATAATTTTCTATATTATAAAATTTTTAATTAAAATTTCTTTATTTTTATTTTTGACTTTTGAGGTGTGTAATTACTAATTAAGTTTTTAATCAAAATTTTATAGCATATCCTTTTCAATTGATAATAGGGAATTCGGTTTAAAAATCTAAATTTGATTTTTTTTTGTCAAAAGATCCAGGCGGAAATTATGTCCATAAAGACATACTCCTGCACAATGACCAAACTACCCTTATATATATACATATATATGATATCCACGGTGAAACATAAAACAAAACAAACCCTCATCTCTCTCTCTTGTCTATGTTCAGCAGCTTCGTCGTTGTTTTACCCGTGTCATCGCTATCGTGGTCTCCTTTTTGTACCAAACCCTCATCTCTCTCTCTTTCTTCCTCTACCAATGGACCACCACCTCGTCGCCGCCCTTCATCTACTCTCTTTTCTTTCTCCGTCAACAGACCTATCGTCGCCGCTTTTTGCCGTCGCCTCCTCGCCAAAACTTTGTCGCTGTCATCTTCCAAATCTAGATCCAGATCCACAGATCACTCCATTGCAGCACATTTTCCTCCTTCACTGCTTCCTCCTTCGTTAGCCACCTCAGCCTTGTCACCTTCATTTGGTTGTGACACCATTGCTCCCTTTCTCTCTCGAACCAGAGCTCCGACTTCAATGGCGGCTTAGGTAACGGTGGAGGATCGAGCTTTGCTAGGGTTTCTACGATGTTTATCTCTTTCTAAATCAACGGAGGTGGCAGCAGTAGGATCTCCGCCATGTTAATGGTATCTGTAACACCCCGAAATAATAACCAATATTTAACCACGATAGTTATCAAATAACAATACATTTCCAAACATAATATCCTTCTGTTCATATACTTCAAGTGTACAAATGAGTAATACATGCATTTATACATTTATAAGCCCTAATCCTTGAATCTATAGCATATGTCACAAACTAATAATATGAAATAAAAGTCAAACAGATATATGAGTACCTTAATGCCTACAACTTTCCAAGTCAATACTTGACTACAACAAAAGTGAGTTTGAAACTTAACACAAGTGAAGCCTTAAGCTTGTACAAAATAAATACAACAAAAACAAAACAAGAAGCTCTTGGCTTCAAGTCCTTCCAAGCTACGGCCTTGACAGAAGCATATCATTTGCACCTGAAAATGGTTTTACACATAGGGTGAGCCAAAGCCAAGTAAAGATACTCTAACACAGTATATGAATTTTAACAGAGCTATAAGGTGAATTCATTTTCAATGCTCATGCCAAAACATTTTATATCTCTTTCCAAAACCATGCAATGCCAAGTTTATATCACAGTTCATGCAATCATCTGCTTTACAATAAAAAACAGGGCAGTGGATACAACACTGAGAATATCTAGAATGTGTTTACAAGTAGGCTACAAGCATTACCAATTGTCATTTTTATCGGTTTTAACTAGAAGGCTCGGCACCTATCTACGTAGATTTCTGGACTTTCACCAAGGACACACATGCCAACTTAGTACCACAACTATACTCTCTACCCAGATTCACCAAGGTATTTATCATTTTTTTTCTCAAAAGAATAAACATTTTCAAGGTGTTAAATATGTTACAATGCTAAATGCAAATGGATGAGAAATTAGTTTCAATTTATCTAATTCTCATGTAATTTTTACAACAATCATAGTTATCCTCCATCGATAGCCCAAAACAGATATCTCTAAACAGATAAATAATTCTAACATAGATATACTTTCCAACATTTCCAAATAGGAGTGATAATTCATATCCAACCAACTCCACTACTACCATCATCATCATCAATCCAATTCCATAAACTAACATCAATTCCATTTTCTCTTTACAAAATCTAACATTCACATTTTAGGGCAAAAACCATTTTCTTTGAAAAATCAATTTTAAGGATGGAAATCCACCATTTTATCATAAGTCAACCATATCCACAATCATTTCCAAGAAAATCATTTTGAAAACCTCTCTTTTGATTTTAAAGCCAAAACCCTAGATTTTATCCAAAAATCCTCAAATCACAATCTTGTTTAGAAAAATAAATAACTAAGTTAAAACCCATACAAAAATATCAAAGCAATCCCAACCCCAAAGAAAAAGACTCAAAGGAAAGATGTGTAGAACTCGACGGAGCCGAAAACACGAGCTTCTCCGATTAGAATGAAGCCCTTGACGTGCTCTCTTTTTTTATCAAGGGGACTAGGGTATAGAGATTGAAGGATTAAGGTGTATTTGGGTCAAATGTTCAAGAACTAGAGAGAAAGAGAGAGAGATCTGAGATTTTAGAGTGTTTAGAGAGAGAGAGATGTGAAAAAGTGACTTAAAAAATGACTTTTCGAATCTAATATATGCGCAGATCGTTTGAGTGTAGTAATGGTTGCTCGAGCGAACAGACACAAAAGGTGGGACTGGTCGAGTGAACAAAGTGACCTCACTACAAGAAAAAACACTTTTGGCGACCACCTATTTTTTTTGGTCGCAAATAGTCCACTTTCTGCGACTAAAATCTGACTTTTGGTGACCACAATTTTTTGGTCAGGAAA